TTCTATTATAGGAAGCAATGTTAATATTTACTGAAGTAGCCTCAAGCTAACATTTACATCCCATTAAGCATCTTAAATGTACACATCTGCACATACTGTACACGCACACCAGCCAATGACTCATAGCACGTAACAGCACTAACGATACATCTCAGCTTTACATGTTTGGGTTTGGAGCGAGCTTCAGGTGAACGGAATGTTGTCTGGGAGCCTTTGTGATAGATGGTTGTGCTTAAAGTGGCACCAGCAAGAGCTAGGAGAGCGTCTACTGGAGGGAGATGAGTAAGACCAGAGGAATGCGACTGGAACCAAGTGAGATCCACGTATACTAACGTTGAAACAAGACCATGAGTCTACGGCCACGCTAGCAGCTCTGTGAGGCTGCCCTTACTGTAAGCACAGTGCTTTGAGCTCAATGCTAATGCTAACATGCATGTGTTAACATGATGACATGTGGTGAAGTAGTTAGCACAAAAATAAAAAAAAACAGCTGAGGCTGATGGGAGTGTCATCAGTTTGGCAGGTGTTTGGTCAGTGTTGGATTGTTTTACACAGGTGTTATTGATCAGATGAATTATGGTCCCGTTCCATTTAGTGTGTAACAGTCATTCCAGTGAGCCAGCATGCGCAATACCAGGACCCTGGTCCACCTAAATGGAACAGGGCCCTGATTAATTCTATCAATTACAGCTGTGTTTATAATGCAATGACAGTGGCAAAGTCAAGGGATCATCAACGTCAGAGGAACCATGAATGCAACAAAAAAAGTGTCAACCTATATAGTCGATAGAAACATTTAAATGTCAGCGTATTAAATTAGTGAGTCTGTTTTTATTAAATCAGCTTGCTTTAGTAAAAATAATGGTTCGGAACCACCGGACTAGCGCAACGCCACTGGCGTGGCTTAACATGGCAAAAACATTTCCTACAACAATTGAATAACAAATCTGGCACCTGCGACAGTGACTCTGCAGTCGATGAATCCTTCCCACCACTACTGACAATAAATCAATTCCATTTCTTGAAGAGGAATTGTGTCGACACACGCAGACACACAAAAACCCTGTTCGACAAATAAACAGACACGAATACACTGATGTAAAACCGAGACTCTATGGTTAAAGATCTACAGATCAAGATTGAATGTTTCCTAATTGTTTAATTGTGCACGCTGTAGATGAAGTCTTTCGCCCATGACCGAACCCACAGTGTGATCATCACCGACTGAGCGAGTGAGCTCACTTCTGTCAGCTTATCTCATCTCTCGTCTCAGATGTTTATCGTCTGCAGTGAACTGGTTGTGACTGTGTAACAGTTGAAAGGTGATTCACTGAACCATAAACAATTGCCAGAAAAGGTTGATGCAATACAAACAAGCAAAACCTGGGCGCTGTCCCAACACTGTGAAACTTTCCGACTATGACAACATTTTGATTTAAAAGGGAAGTTGTTTTAAAAGCGTTTTTGGTGACAAAAAAAGCGAATCAAAGCGCTGTGGGAACAAGCCCGAAGCTGCTCTGTGTCTTTTTTAAGGACGCTTGTCCTTAAAACAGACACAGAGCAGCTTCGGGCTTGTCTGACATCTTTAAATAGAGGACATTCTTAACCCAGAACAGTGGAAAAACACAGTGAAGAAGGACAAGGGGCCCCTTATATTAAGTGATCCCTTAAGACCACGAAAGAGCCAACATGGTACAAACACTGGGTGGCTGACGACAGTAAGAAGATGGCGGCTGACAATTATGGAGCGGAGGCACTCTCTTTAAAATAAACACCCGATAAGGTTGCCGTCATTAAAACACACTTAGCCATAGTGAGACAATGCTTTATGATGCCCGACATGACAGACGGCAGGGAGCAGCAAAGTGAGAGAGCAGAAGTTAGAGTTTGGCATCAGTTCAAAACCCCAGACCAGCTGAGAGAATGTGCCTGGGGAAATTGAAGCAATGTTCTCTCCTTCCACAATAAATAGTTGTTATGGTGCCCTTGAGCAAGGCATTTGTCTCTCTCACTCCATAATCTCACTTTCTCACTGTCCTCTACCGCTGAGATAAGACATAATGCCAGAAAATGACATCCACTCCTCCTCTGACTTCCTCTAAAGAAAAATTTTACCGCCACTGATTTAGTGGGCTGACTCACTTTCTGTAAAGCGAATAGAGCAGCAGTCCAAGAGCATCGCCAGTATTATGAACTTTTGAACACGTATCGGTGCATAAACACTTGTACGGAGTTCTTCTGTCATGTCATAAATAAATACTGAATGTTTTGGGGGTGGTCACAGATACATTGTTTACGTCATAATACGTTTTCTTTTGGCACTTTTGAATGTTTCAGATTTTGTAGTATTGCTCCTTTAAATGTTTTTTAGTACAGCTTAACATCTGCAATTTAATGCATCTATGAGAAACATGTGGCCGCAACTATTTTGGCTGTACATGCAGGCTGGTGGGTCATATTTTAAGTCATGCGCAACCATTTTTTTTTGTCTGGAAAAAATACACTGAAAAAACTGTGACCACTGTATTAAATCATGTTCTAATTAAAACACATGTTGAGCTTCTGCACAAGTGTAACTGCAATGGTTTGTTTCGGTGTTAGATCTGCGCTATTTTCTATTTTATTTTGCTCATATTTAGCACCAATGTCTTTAACTTTAATCACACAAGGAAATAATCTCAAATCCCTGAGCACCAAATGTGGTGAGACCTCCAACATTGAATGAAACCATGAGTGTAACCAGAATGTGAAAGACGCTTTCAGATGAAACGCACGTTTTCCTTTCCGCAAACTGCTTTCGAAAAAAAATGTTTTCGGAGCAAACAATAGACCAAATGCACATTTTGTTTTGAGTGAGATATGCACTATGAAGATGAACTTAATGTTAACACACAAGTGTTGGAATATACATTAAAACAGATGATCAAGGAACAGATTTTAGTGAATAATATGTTGCATACTTTCCTGAATAGCAGTAAAATTCTGAGCCAAGAGATATCGTGCTGCCGGCCCCTAAATGGCAAAAAAACAAAAAACCTCTTATGAGTTCAACTTTTGTTTGTGAGACTGATTAAAGGATGGAAAGAGAAGAAGAACAGGAGGAAGGGGAGGACACACTGACAGGATGTTCTGGTGAGTTTGGGCAGTCCTGCAGATTGGAGCAGACAGAAACAGAGCATATGGCCTATCTCAGCAGGACATTCAGTCCTCAACCACAACGCCCCCTTACATATTTGTTTCCCTCCTTGTCTGACTCCACACCCACACACACTGATGATCTCTCCATCCCCTGCGAAGGGAAATGAGATAAAAGAGACTGAAAAGATGATGATTTTGTGTGGAGGTCAAGTGAAGAAAAGTCTCAAAGTCTCTCCAAGTCCCAGTGGCCTCAGTGGTAGTGTGCATCAGTTGAAACATAACTTAATGTGAATCACCATCTCGCTCCCAAAGCCCGAGACTCGCCAAAACACAGAGTCACAGCGGCCAACAAGTGTGAATTAGATCAACATTACATCTTTCCTTGAGCACGAGTGACGCGATCTTGTCATGCGAGCGCTGAATCTCAAAGGAATCATTATTTTATAGGCTGTTAACTGCAAATAAAAGTATATTTAGTAAAAAAAGGATCCTGTAAATACTCTGAAGTGGGATTTGTGATGAATTAATCTTAGAGCTTTTTGTTCATTACAGTACGGACAGGCGTCCATCGTTCTCTTTCTCTATGTCTCTTTGTAAAGCAGGAATCAGCCTTCAATAACATAGTTGAGAAAATAACAAGATAGACAAAAATAGTGTGAAAGGTCATCCACCTCAGTAAAGTAACAATGTTTAATGTGTGTAGTGTAAAGACTAGAGAAAGACTGGATTGAGAGGTTGAAACTGTTTCTTAACTAAACTGCTTGTTCAAACTCAACATTTCCTTTTATGTTAACCTAATAAGACGAGTCAAAATTAAACTACGAGGCCATCTAGTGGCGTCTGACTGTTATATGTGTTCTTATATATTGAGAGATACTCAAAAATAGGGTGCAACGAAAGGTAGGAAATATGAAAATTAAGGCAAAAAACATAAATACAACCCATAAAAGGGATGTCAAAAGAATGAAAAATACCAAAAAACGTGCAGTATTTGCAGCTCAAGCTACAGGTCACATGAGAAGTCTTTCCACTGCTCTGTCTTTTAAAGGCCTGTCTCAACCCGTCTGCCCTCTCCTCAGACTACAGAACACCACCTGTGCTCCATTGTCGGGGTCACAAGTTTAGACGAAAACCAATCCTCCCCGTGGGAAGCGGCCAGAAGAGTGAGGGGTGCTATTTAAAGATGCCTCGATAATGAGGTGGCTCGGTGGGAATCTGGAGCCATGTTCTCTTTCGTGATATATACACACACACACACACACACACACACACACACACACACACACACACACACACACACCATAAACCCTTCACACACACCTGTCTACAGCCATAATAAACACATCCAGCTGTATCTGGCATTGTAAACACCTTCTGCTGCGGACCTTTCCAAAATAATAAAAACATTCATCCAGTGAATTTTCTAATTTTCTAACGCAGTTTTAACTTCAGTTTAATCTGTAAACACTGTGGTTTTTATTTAAATATGACAGATTACTTTTTGTATAGTAAGATGTCACTTGATTAAGGAAAATGCAAGTTCTCTGAGAATAAAAACAACTCTCAGGGAGGTTTTTGTGAAGTCTTTTTGTATCTTCCAACAAATGTAAAATCAGACAAGCAGGTTATAAACTACATTTGGCAACCAGGTGTTCAGTATAATTCTTAGAGAACAGCCGGGCCGCGGCTCCTCTTTCTGCAGGTCCAGTGTTTATAGGTAGTCATGGTCCCACATAGCAGCACACTGAGAGAGAGAGAGAGAGAGAGAGAGAGAGAGAGAGAGAGAGAGAGAGAAAGAGAGAAAGAGAGAGGGAGAGAGAGAGGAGGCTGGGTCAACTGTCTAAGTTTATCTGCACACACTTCTCCCGCTCACTCTTTGCTTTGTAGCTGGAACCATCCTGAGGATAACGCATGAGGGCAGAAGAACCAACCATAGACGTATATAAGTAAGTGCAATTCAATATTTTACGTTTGTGTATTTGATCAAATTTGAATGGAAACCGCTGAAGAAAATCCAAACACTAACCATGCATGCTGCTCCCAAGAGTCGACTTCCAAACAACTAACTCGCTCACTAATTTTGCAATTAAAAAGAAGCTAAAGGCGAATCAGGAAGCTTAGAAGAAATTCATTTTTGTAATGTTTAAAAGAAGAAGAAAACAAGCGTTCAGAATGCTGTCTTTGTGTGGTGGAGGTCTGAAGGAATGTGACTTGTGCCCAAGCCTGGCCTTGCAGCAAGACAGCTGGTGAGTGTCATGTCTCCCCCGGAGCTTTAGTCAGCCATGCATAAAGTACAACACTATCCAGTCCTGTAGATTTTAGCACTCAACATTATTTTTTCATGATCTGACCTTATTTAACACAACGATAGAGCTTAGTGAGGAAACAGCAGCTATGAAATATAATGTCACACTTGTCTTCCTTGCCCATTCTACATTGCTAGTCGCTGTCAATGACAGTATCGGGTCAATCTGATCAATTTACTCTCTGGGAGTCCCTGGACAGTCTTGGCTAACACCTCATAGGGTGAAATTACAGCTACATTATTCACCAGGGGGAGAGTGCATATGCCCATCCATCAGCACAATGACATGTTAGGATAATCTGCTCTAATCTGTTCATAATGCCACTTCAGACGACAGCCTTTTGTACTTGTTTATCTAAGAAGAGTTGCGGTGTTCTGCATGAGTGGGCTTGTTTGAGGTGTGGTCTGATCATTGCCAAGCGCTCGGTCGGTCTCTGTGGCATCTAAGCCCTGCCGGACAGCTGCTTGTAGCATATTATCTGCCCCCTTTGACCAGCTCTACATGTGCTAATGACGTCTGCATACCTCACACGGGCGTATGGGCAAAATATTAACCCAGCTCCTCTGTCGACATTTCATCAGCGCAGGGCCGAGTATTTGTGACATGCAACGCAACTGCCAACGACTACGGCCATCATGTTGAATAGGCTATCTAACGTATTCATGTGCTTTTGTCAAGGGATGAGACGGTCGTAAAAGGAGACTTCTACAACGGAGGTGGATACAAGAGTCAGGCTGAACCAATGGAGGACGACAGCGTCTCATCTGGGTTCGAGCCTCTCTTCATCAAAGAGGAGGATGTGGATCCGGACAGAACCCTCGCGACGCGATCTGGAATCACCTTCAAGGGAACGCAGCTGAATCAATCGGTTTTAATCAAGCCATACTTACAGGAGATGGATGACCTACTGAAAGGCTGTGAGGAGCTCATTGGTGTCCCTTTCGGCTCTGGCTTCTCAGCAAGTCACAATGAAACAACCTCGACTGAATCAACTCGTAGCCACAGCAAAAAGGAAGACACATCGGAGAGCTATGGAGAAACAAGCGTTTCTCCCCAAGCGTATCTTTCCACAAGCTACATGGACACGCACATGGATGGGGCTGAAACCAAAGACCAGCCGGCACAAGCCCAGTCACAAATCTTGGGCACTATCGGTAGCAGGTGTGGAGTAACCTCAGTAGCTTCTCGCCAAAAGGAGATGCCTCTCACTTCGGCGGGAAACCAACTGAGTGACACCATGGTGGAGTACGAGGGTCAGCTCCTGGGGATGCTGGCCATGCTGGAGAGCTCTATGGAAGAGTCTAGGATGGACTATGAGCCCCAAGGCTGCGGTCCAGATGCAAGCCAGGAGTACGTACAAATCAGTAAGTATCCTCGTCTTAATAGGGGTGCAACACTGGTGCCAGTTGAGCAAGGGAGCCCGATGACGTTGGAGACCCAGCCAATGCAATTGGAGTCCTGGGCTGGTCAGCATGCAGGGGGAGAGAAAGCCTCCAGGGAGAGCAGACATGAGGAAACAGTGGGTTCAGCAACAAATGGAGGCCTGCAGAGTAATTTCTCGATGACAACACTGGAATGGCAAGACCATGGAGTTCTTGATCCTCTGTTCGGGTTTTCAGGGCCATCGATGCCATTAGATAGTACAGAAAATGATCCGATGTGCTGTGAGGCAACAAAGACGGGATATTTTTCTACGAAGGAAGACACGTGCATGAAGAGAGACGTAACTGGGATTGAAGTAGACGACGCCGAAGAGCTGAAGATGGACATCATTGATCTGGGATCTGGCATGAATGATTTAAGCGCACTAGGGTGTCAGATGGAGGCGTGCATAGAGGAGGTACAGCGGTTGGAGAGGAGGAGGAAGGAGCTGCTGACGGAGGTGCTGGAGTTGAGAGGGACTAAAGACAGAGGGGAGTCAGCGGGGAGCAATGAAGAGGAAGAGGAGCAACTTGACAGCAAAGTGGTAGAGCTGATGAATGCATTTAAGAGGGAGGAAGAAGGGAGAAGAGAGGAGAGGAAGAAAGAGATTCAGGGCTTAAGGGAGGAGAGAGCAGAGGAGGAGAGGATGCTGTGGAAGGTGAACCTGGAGAGACAGGGGCTGCACGAGGAGCTCAGAAGGCTGAAGAGGAGGCTGTTCGCCGTGGCCAGGGACTGTGCTCACAACCAGGCCGCCCTGAACACCCAGCACCGCGAGGTGGAGCTGCTGAGGAGAGAGGAGGTAAGAAACACCTCAAGAAACATTGTTATCTGTGCATTTCAGAGGAAACCTCAATCATAGAAATCCCTGTCTTCCAGGAGAAGCTGCAGTCGCTGGTGCTCCAGCTGACAGAAGAGGGCTCCCGACTCAGGGCGGCTCAGCAGCAACAGCTCTTAGACCTACAAGCAGCGCTTCAGGCCCAGACCTCCAGTCAGACCTCCAGCACCCAGAATGAGCTGACCGAGTGCAGGAGGCACTCCTGTGGAGACGTCCAGCAGTATCTGCAGGGTGGGCTGAAAGCGCTGGAGGACAGGTGCTGTCTCTGTCTAATACTGATTTTTGCAAAAGTTTTTAAAGTTGTTAAAGTATTTATTTGGGCCTGATCATTATTCTCATCCTTTTGTTTTGTTTTTTACACTTTAAGATCACAGTGCATCAAGTCATAGTGTCTTTAGCTTCTGTACTGTGAGGTTTAGATGGTGAAGTCACTCCTCTTTCCCATAAAAAACCCGCTCGCTCACCTGCAGGTCGGAGGCAAAACTCAAGCCGGTAGTTTTTGCGCACCGCTATCCAAACACACATCTCGTTCTATCACTCTTCATATTCCTCTGTTAGCTCCAGCCACACACAGGCAGTTAAGAGCGGTTTTATATACGACCGGTTTGGCTAACTAGCTGCCTGAAGTCACATTTGATTGGATGATTTTTTGAGTGCAGGATGAGTCAAACAGTTAAGACAGAGAGAGATTTGATTTAAGAGATAAATGAACAACTGGACAATTGAACACAGGAACACCGGAAATATGTTTTTAATTTTACTGGCTCTTTAAACACAGACCGTTAGAATGTATGTTTCCTCATTAAACTGTAAATGGATCTCTTGGCCAGGTATGAACCCATCTTGCTCACACTGCTGAAGAGAAGGGAGGCAACAGCCGGTGCACTGCTGAAAGCCAAAGAGCAGGCCCAGGAGCTGAGGGCCCAGCTGAGACCCCTAAAGGAGGAGATCCAAAGGCTGAACCTCCAGAGGGCGTGTCTGGAGGAGAAACTCAAACTAATTCACTTTCAACGGAGAGAGGACATGGGGCAGTATAAGGTGAGCAAGGTGGAGTCTTAGGAAGTAGAAGAGATGTCCCTTGACCTGATACACAAAGCACTAAAGCTGTGGCATTGTTACAGGAGACAGTGTCCTTTCTGGAGGACAGCAGCAGAGAGCTGAGGACAGAGTTAAAGATCCAGAAGAGAAAAACCAAAGAGATAGAGGAGCTGAGCGACAGCCTAAACAAACAACTACTCCTCTTCAGGTAAGACTTGTTCATCGATTCTGAATCAGACTTCAGAAATCCTCGAGGGGAAAAGTTCTAATTCAACCGTGTTTCTTACAGGGCTGCCGAGGAGCATAACGAGTCTGACGACGATGAGGAGGAAACATGATCGAATGTTCTTGATTTAAAAAAAAGAAGAAAACTGAGTTCTGTGATCATTATTTTTTTATCTGCAACATAGTAAACTCGACTTTTCAATTAATGCACTTTACACACATTGAGACGCTGTTGTCTATTTGTAGAGCAGTCGCTGCAGCTCGTAGAAAGGTTTGTGTTATGAATAAAGGCTTTTGTGATCGCTGTAACCCGAGTGCGACTGACGAGTTAATGTCTCCGCGTGACGAGCCGAGAGGGGTTCATGTGCTTATAAGGGCAACACGGCTGAAGGACCAAACAGTGGGACACGAAGTAATGAGAGTACATTAAAGGCACCAAGTCATCACACCGGACACATGAAAAGGTTCATGAGGGACGACCGACTCTTTCACTAAGAGGATTATTTTTAGGGTTGTTTAAAAATACTCCAACGCTTCGCAAGGCACTGATTTTATTAACGAAAAACATGCAAGTAACACATTCATATTGAGGAATGTCAAACAAGCGGAGGCCAAAGACCAATGAAACATTTTATTAAGAATGCACTCACTGTACAATTACAAAATATTGAACACAGAAAAAGTTCAACCACTAATCTATATCACGACAAATGATTAATGTAGGACCAAGGTGAGGGAAGGTGGGAACACAAAGGGACATTTAAAACTTTATTTTTTTATGTATTTTTTGTAATTTCATTGAGGAGCAGATGGTGTGAAAATCTGAACAATTCGGTGAGTGAAGGAGGGAGATAATGAGGCGTCTTTAGGACCGTAAGCTAGCCTGAGAACAAGCTGTCAGAGTAACTGTCACTACGCTGTGCATCTAGTCAGAAAGCTGGACTGCATTTCACTTAAAACATGAATATTTTTTTCCTGCAACATTTCCAACATGTGCAGAGGGAGCTGTTCACACTCTAACAGCTCAACATTATGAATCATCACTTGTTGTTGTGATCACCATCTCAGGTTCTAAAAAAAAAAAGCATTTCATTTATTATTGAAAATGTATTCGCTAAAACATGTCCGTGTACGAGGGAGAGCCAATTTGATTACAAAAATATATATTTTATACGCAGTGCGGGAAAAAAAAAAACATGAGTGAGATTCTTCAGGAAATAAGTTACTCAGTTAAAGGAGAGCTCTTCACTGTGAGTATTCAAAAACACGGCTGACACGATTATTCTCTTTCTTGTATTTACAGTGATTTACAGCGTACGGTGTCCCACGGGAAAAGTAGAGAGAAAGGAAGGTGGGAGGAAGTAGCTGCGCGGAAGGAAGTACAGGAGATCGCAGATTGTGATGAGGTCGTTGGTTGAGACGCACGGCAGGAAAGAGTTACGCCGTGGCCTCGGGGTCCGTCGAACCCTCGGGGTCTTCATCGTTGTAGATGTTCTCGGCCTAAAAAAAAAGAGAATCGCCGTCAATCATTCAGCCGCATACTGTCAGGTTCATATGTAATGATGAGTCGGGGGCATTTTGTGAGTCTGTGACAACAAGGGAAAGATAAACTGTGGAGCTTTCAAAGAGCCAAATGTTCCAAAGACAAGACTACAACATGTTTCACTGCTGGGTTTTCTATCACAGTAGAGTGTTAGATGTTTTAGCAGCATTAAAAGAAAGTATTACATAGTGATGGAGTGAGGGAAAATACTTCCCTCTGAAAAGGAATCACATTTCTTGCCTGTCCGTCGCTAACATGCGTTCATAAATTGCCGCCTCAGCAGTCTTACCATTTGCCAGACTTGCATAATGTTGTCTTCAGACACCGAGCAGATGACCCAGGGCTCGTTGGGATTCCAGGAGAAGTCGGAGATCTTAGCCGTGTGGCCTCCATGGATAAACTAGAAGATAGAAGACGCCATTTTCGTCATTACGATACAAGCTGATGTTCCCAATAATAGAGAATCTCAACTTCCAAAGCTCAGCAGGCTTCAATGAGACCCACCAGAAGCTCGGGTGGGCCATCCTCTGCATCTTCTGGTGACTGCTCCTCTCCGATTTTACTACAAAAAAAAGGAGAAAGAAGAGTTGTATGACTGACCCAACATGTCCACACCGGCAGAGGATCATCTCTGGCAACAACAATGTAGCCTGAACGCAACACGGTTAAATTCAGAGGACACTGGGAGAAGATGTTGGATTGCTTACCTGAGGTCCCAGACGTTGAGGCGGCGGTCTGTTCCGCTGGACGCCAGTATGGTCTCATTATGAGGTGACCACTGAACCTGGAACAGACAGAGGAGTCAAACCAGGTACAACACTGAAACTCTCCTCACGAAGACTTTACCAGCGACATTCATCTCGGTGTCCAGCGTTTGCTCGGCGAGTGTTGATTATTCGGATATATAATAACTTTACCGTCTTGTCTGCGGACTCAACTTAAAATTGCTTCATTGTGATCCAAATGAACCAACCGCCTTTAAACTGATTATACAGATTTGCACCCGAGACATCCTGCTGTCCTTGTTTCAATAAAATATCATGAGCGATAGATATCATACCTGGAAGATCTCATCCTTGTGTGACTCGAAGGAATGCAGCTTCAGTTTCAAGTTTCTCAAGTCCCAAAGAGCCACAGTCTGAAGCGAGAGAGAGAGATATTACACATACCTGCCTGATTTTATTACAAAACAGCAACAATATAATCAGTATTGATTTAGTCAAAGTATGACGAGGATTGAGATGTGGTGGAATATTCCATTACCTTGTCTGCAGAGCCGGATGCGAGGATGAACTCGCTGTACGGGTTGAATGACAAACAGTTGACCTCTGCTGTGTGAGCGTCTACTGCGTGGCTGGGTTTAGACGTGTTGTTCGAACGAGTGTCCCAACTGAGGGGGGGGGGGGGGAATGACAAAACGTTCATGGACTGTGAAGACCCAAGATCACAAAACTTTATGAACTATTTCATCTGCTCGTCAGATTTGACTCGTCATCGAGCGTCTTACATCATGAGCTTCTGGTCGTCGGCTACGGATCCAAAGAGCGACTCGTGAAGCAAGTGCCAGGAGACATCTTCCACCACGGCAGTGTGGCCGGTGAAGATGGTCTTTGCCTCTACTATCTTCCCCTCCTTCGGCACGGCACTTATGTCCCACAGACAGATTGTCTGCAGATTAGAAAAGATGAGAGATAAAAACCCATTCATATTTCTGACACCATACCTGAACACGCTATAATTCCATGAGATGCAGCGTGAGTTTATTGTTAGTTTGAATACAAACAATGAAATCTGACTTTTCACTCACATGGTCGTCTGACGCACTGAGGAGAGAGCCGGACAGATTTGGATTCCAGGAGAGACCGTAGCCTTCCTTCTGGTGGCCTCTGAGACGCAGATCGGGGTGACACTCTCCCGAGGCATCTACTGTCAACGGAAATATGGCACAACGGCCATTTCATTCACCGCAAGAAACCAAGCCGGTACGCAGTAATGATGATGATGTTAAACAAAATACAACTAGCCTACCTAACTTTCCAAAGAACAAACATTAAGCAGTGTCTTGTGCTGTGTGTGTTGTATCTACCTGGCTTGGAGGGGTGCTTGGTGTAGTCAAACACCAGCACTTCTGAGGTGGGGGTCTTGGTGGCGATGATGCAGGGGTTCTGGGGCATGTAGCGAGCACGGTTCACCTCTCCTTCGTGGTTGATCTTGATTTCTATCTCGATCTTGCCACTCACTGAGCCGAAGCCTCCGAACTCTGCAGGGAAATATGAGGAAATGTGTTTAAAGAGTCAAAAAAACACAGACGTTTGTGGCTACAGACAATTAATTTCGGAGCAGGGTGTTTGAAAAGGTGCAATTCACCTGTGCATAACAATGCAATAACCGGTGTTCATCTTACATGACATGCAACAATCTAATTGTATGCTCGCTGAGGTGTGTATGTGCAGTGTCTAATACAAACTAAAATGATCACTGATGATTTTCACGAAAAGGCTTCAAAATCATTTCATTCAGTATTATCGTACCACATCAACCTCGTTACACAATCTGCATGTTAGCCGTCTCCTTAAAGCACATTGGGGCCTACTATAAACATACGGTACAGGGCTCTCACCTCCTTTTTCGCTGTCATAATGTGAGGCTTCAAACTGGGCGTCATCATTCGGCAGCTGAACGCTGGCGATGACCAGGTGGTTCTGCTCATCGGATGTGTGAGTGCCCAACACCAGCCGGTGCACGCTGTAATCCTTCCCCTCTGGCCTGGTAAGGAAAAAAAGAAAATGTGCTTTATCATTAATGTCATTCACACTTGAGTGCTTGTCGGTATGTGTGTGAAAATGACTGTTTGTACCTGGAGACGTCGGGCAGCCACTGAGCGGTGAGGCTGGGCCACTCTAGAGCGTGGGTCATCACCAAGTCATACAGGAAGGGAGTGTTCTTCTTCCAGATCTTGTACTCCTCGTTTATCACCCTCTCCTCCACCGCATCATCAAATGCTCCTGCTGAGAGAGGACACACTGTGTAATACATGAGTACTGACACTGTTGTGGAGGAATCATTCATCAGACATTTACAACACCAGTGTAGGTTAATATTAAGGCAACTGACAATGTATCTCAGTCAGCATCAATGCATTAAAGATAATTAAATGGCACTTAGATGTTTAAGGTTGTCTCTGCAGACGACAAACACGACTCAAAGCCTAACTATTGCTCAATATGTACCGGTATGAGAGTACAGAAACACATCCCCGTTAGCTTAACAAGCTAACATCATTATGCTCTTGCTAGTGTTAACATACGTTCTTATTGTGACGCTGAATGTGTCGCGCTGCAGCCTCAATTGCAGTTAGGGGTAACGTCACAGAGTAAACAACAACAACTGGTGAGAAAACAAGAACTGCGAGCTGAAACCGAGGTTGTTACAGCGTACACACAAAAAAAAAATGCACCCGGCTTTTGTTATTGTCTGCTACGGCAGCTACGGTAGCTAATGGTAGCCGCTAACCAAGCTAGCCAGGTAGCTAACACCAGCAAAGATATGTCAGATAAACACTGACCACGTTAAAAAGCCCTTAGCCTTACCTTCCTTGTCCGCCATTGCAGATATAAGTCGCTGATAGTCCACAGCGAATTGAGGCTAATAATTGAGATGCGGAGCCCAAATACCCTTATCTCAGATCCTCCTCTCGTGCGCCAGCAGACCCCCTGGTGTTGTTAAAAGGCACACTGTGAAAGACGCTAAGCTAACAGCTAGCTAGGTTGTGAGAGACGTGGGGTGCATTCGCGCGCTCTGTCTGAAGAGGGAGGGGCCACAGGGCAGTCATTGCGCAGCAGCTGCTGTGCTCGTGCTGACCAGCAGATGGAAGCAAGAGGCCGTGTGCAGATGGCAGCGTGATGCTTCTTCTTTTTTTTTAGGTTTATTGGCGGTTGGCAAACAATGAATTGGAGCATTACCGCCACCAACTGGTATAGAGTGTGAATTTAAAATAAAATAAAATAAAATAAAATAAAATAAAATAAAATAAAA